CATTGAAAGTATAGGTGTCGCTGTTACAAATCAAAAGATATTAAAAATGTGGCATTTCTCCCCAGCGTTTCTCCTGAATTTACCCTATTTATACTGTAATTATTTTTATTTGTATTGTAAAATACTTTCACAGTTAAAAAAAAACAGCATACTAAATGGTTGTGTTGAGCAGAATGTTTATTTTGAAATTGATAGAAGTTAAAACAATTTTATGCGGACTTAGTTGAATTTCATCCGTTACATCTTCGAATATCTTCTTAACTAGTGGCCGGATTGCCACTAATTAGTGGAAGAGTTGCAGGCGTTCTGATGGGAATTTTGGATAGATCTGTAAGAGTTCTAAAGAAATTATATGTATATAGTCGAAAGCAATCCGATGACTAGTTCAGAAGATATTCGACTTCGAAGGTCTACCGTGAACGTCATTTGCGTAATTTTAGATGATGATTTTTTAAAACAATTCTAAGGTTTTGCAATTTTTTCTTTATCAAGAACTCTAGAACTTTTTAAAAGGAATCAAATGAGCTACTTAGAACTATTCTGGCTTGAAATCACTTTCATTTTTTTTTCTTTTTGAAAAAAAAATTTAAAAAAATTTCTTTTATTAGGAACTCTAGTAGGTACTCGTCAAAATTTTTAGATGAGTTATTTAGAACTATTCGGTCTTAAAGTTGGGTGTGAAGTTAGCACTTTATTTTTTAATTGCTTTTTTTATAGTGTTAATCGGAACTTTTTTTATAAACATAAAAATACATATATACTCTTCGAAAAGAAGCTGGAACTCTAATCAGAACTATTGAATTTTAAAGTATGGGTGCCAACTTCACACATATCACGTACGCATATATGTGCTCGATCAACCGTATTTGCCACTGAGGCCAGATATACCTAGAAAATCGAGATTTTATAACGTTTTTCGAGGACTTTTGAATTTCTGCAACGTAGAACATTAATTTAGCTATCGTATACGGAATGGTGAAAAATTTAATTTTTTTTACCAAATTCTGCATTGTTGCGCACAATCTAATTTCCGTCACATAAATTATAATCGCGACTAGTCGTACTATGATCTGCCGCGTGAATCATCGGTAGTAGATGTCTCACGTGTCGGAAATTACAGCACGTCAACTGAATCGCCGCTTGGCGCAACGCACATTCGCAGATTGCGTCCAATCGGTCGCGGATCTAGATTTGTCCTGAGAGATTTTTCCGCGCGTAACACTCGGCGCGGCGCGCACTATCCCGAGCCGCGCAATTCTGCGGTGTGACGGGCGGCGCCACGCAGCAGTCACGCATTATGCCGCATCTTGACCACCCTCGCGACCGTCATTATCCCGAGGATAGAGAAAGAGAGAGAGAGAGGAGATACGGCGCAGGAGACTCGCGCGGTTATGGACAAGGGCGAGAGTTAGCCCGCCGCCGGGATAATGACAGTCCGACAGACGGACGGTGCTCCGGTGACTGAGAAGCAACTGCAGCGTGGTTATTAAACTTATTCTACGCGGTATATAACTCGTAGTGAGTCCAGAAGCGACATTGCTCGCGCGAGTGCGAGTGTACGTAGACCGTCATGATGTTTCAGAATTAGTCAACGAAATACCTCTAATTACCTGGCACCGCGGTTGCGACAGCAAAGCGTTCTCTATTATGCATTTAATTGCGACATCGCGCGCTTCGGAAGCGCGCGAATAGAAATGTCGATTGACTCGTTTGTATACGTATCTATGGACACCCGCACGCATTTACTCGAGTATGTGGGTTATAAGTCGCATGCAGGAAGATTTACATCGTCGTGTTGTTTGCGTACAAAAGCAATTGATCGACTGGAAATGTAAAATATATACTGTTCTGAAATCACGTCAATTACGTCTCATTGGTTTTTTTTTTTATGAAAAA